TAACCTAGAGGTTACTGAATAGACTAATTACACGAAAGTTGGTAATGAACGATAATACATAAGACAAGAACAACATATAAGATTTGCCAGCAGCGCGTAGTAGTAGTCAAGAAGAGTCAAGTGAATTCCACAATGAATCTCCAGCTTCAGGACATCTACCAACCGCCCCACGCGGTTAGATGTGGCACAAGGCCGAATTTATTGTGGGGTATCCGAGCCCGTAGGCTCAGCCAAAAATTCCCCGTAGACCCCGTATAGATGCCATATAAAACGGGGTCGGCTAACTGTTTCCCGAGACGAGACTCTGCCCTTTAATTTTTGTGTAATGTTGAGATGGTTGGACAGTTTTTCTGTACAACAGTAAAGAAACAAATATTTATTTAAACGACAGAAATATTTTTACGATATACAAATTTTTACAAAATACAATATAGGTCTTTCACAAAATTTCCTTTGTGCGCCTCAAACTATCAAGGCAGATTAACAGTTCTTCCTAATACTAATTTAAAGAGTTCTTGAAAAAAACATTTTTTTCTTAAGAAATGAATTTTAACAATTTTGTTTTAGAGCAACAGTTCAAATAAATCAACAAAAAAATTTACTTCGAAAAGTTCACTTTTCAAAATGTCGAAGTGGATTGGAAGAAAGAGGAAGCTGGTTTTCTGGATTCTTTAGACATCCTTCAGCTGTTTTGAACAATTGTTCTCAAATATGAGATAAACTCTCCCAGATTTAGAAACACATATTCACATGAGATAAAAATCTCTGGGAAAATGACATACTTTGTAAAGAAAATTCACATCAGTTTTTAAGGGTACTTCTTTCTTCTTCCTTTTCTTTTTCTTCAGCAACAGGAGCAGCAACAGTAGTAGTTTTTCTCCTCCCGGATAAGATCCCTTTACCTTGTCTGAGTCTAGTCGATCGCTTTTGCAACAACTACTCCACTACCATTCACAAGAAGTCATAACAATACACAGATAATAAAGAGATTGAATGATTGATTTTTTTTACAGCTAACGGATTATCTAAAGCTGAAACATATTTTTGATTGGAAGAATAATTCATTTTTGAGAGTAAATATTGCATTAACAATTTTTTGAAAAAAACAATGATTTTTCCAGATACAGATACGAATATTTAACCTATAACTGAGGGGAGAAAAGATGGATTCATACCTTTCCCAAGCGTATTTGTGCATAAGTGAATTTAATGAACCTGACTGGACACCATACTCAGATCTCTGATTTCTCACTCTGAGTCCGCTATCCATTACACCACCCACACCTCTGATAAAAAAGGTTGTTTGATTAACGTCCCTGAGGATAATCACAGGTAGCACGGTATTCGAAAGGCTCTTTCTTTTTTAACTTAATTTTTACTCCGATAGTGACGGAGTAAGTCCTTTAGAGACACAGAATGAATATTGTATTGAACTGTTCATAACTTCAGTTTTCTTTCTTTATCCGTCTATAACATGTTTTGTTAATACATTTATTAATTGTTGTTTGTTATGTTCTTTTTTTTTACTCACATAAGTCCGCCAAATATTGTTTGTGGGACAAATATACCAGGAGGAATAAAATGATAATTTCCCTTCTCGCAACAAGAGAAAAGAATCCTGAAAAGACATGGCATTTTTTAAAGTCTTATGTAGGAATTTCCGAGGGCAACTTTAATAGAAACATAAATGACATTAAATGTTTAAATATCCAAGGTATCAGTGTATATGTCACTAAATTTAATTTTCTTTAAAGTATAATTATGACCACTACCCCGGCCGCTCCGTATTCAAGTTCGAACTTCTCGGATGATCGTTTCGGCCCAAGTCTTCTCATGTCTTGTCCCACGTTGTGATTAATTGATCGCAAGACTGACTTGGTCCGAATGGTCGACTGGAATTGATGACTTGGTTTGGTTTAGTCAGAGTAAAGTCACAAAAAAAATGAAATAAATAAATTGAATAGAAGGAAGATAATATTTATATACAGTTACTTGATACAAAGTTGATGGTACAGTTATTGATAGCTTAAGCGAGACTATATTCTCCATGCAATAACGCTCGAACCTTCCTGATCGTCGTGACACTGTTTGGTTTGGTTTGTTTTACGGCATATCAACTTCAATGGGTTATTTAATGCTGACAAGATTTTTATTGCTGATAATATTTTTAAATGTATTGCTGCTAATATTTTTCTTAAAACATATTGCTGGCATTAAAACATATTTTTACACTTTCATAGTGTTTTGACCCCAGTTTGGGGGTTAACTATTTATCCATAGTTGCTACCACCCCGGGTCAGGGTTGACCTGGGAACACCAGCAATTAAGGAGTGTTGGACGTAGTTTGTCGTCTTACCTAGGACGCTGATGTAGTTTATCGTCTTACCCAGGACGCGACACTGTTGTTAGAATTCTTTGGAATGAGACTTCTGAAACAAGACTTTAAGTTGGAGGCTTTTTTCTTCAGGGCGGCAAGTCACATGAGATCAGGCGAAGCGGTGGTCTTTCTGCCGTCGTCTGTCCGCGGTGTCTCCGATTTCTCTGTCTCTCTCTGCTGTAGTGTTCTGTTTTTATGGACCCATGCGCAAGGGCTGGGGTAGGGCATGATATGCTCTGGGTATGCCAACGTTCCCCAACAACCAATCAGGGCTCTCCCTGCAAATGTCGAAATATGGGGGGGGGTGCTTTGTGTGAGTGCTTCTCACCATCACTGCCCGAGGGGCGTGGACGGTCCTCCGCTTTCACTGCAATTCGACTTGGGCTTTCTCTCCTCCCTGGTCGCCTAACCAATCTCATGCCCAACGGCCAAATTTTAATTATCGTTCAAAATTCATTCTTGTCGCGCTTTTGGTGTGTAATGTTTTTCGCATCTGGAATCGATCATTCTTATCTCATCGTCAAACCTTTAGTCAACAAGTGGCAAAAAGGAAACAATCCCTTGATTTTAGGAAGTTTTATCGCGTTTCGGCCGCCGAAAATTATATCATTCTTTTATCTATCTTCTGCTGGAAACTTGTCTTTTTCTAAAATTCAATGCTCATCTAGCAGTCAAACTCACAGTCAGGGGTCTGCCTCTTCTCCTTCCCTCACAATGGTCGTAAAAATATTATCTATTTCTTTCCGGGAGGTTGTTGGTCCTCCAAAATAGTTCGCCTCTGTTCTAATCGAAACCTGATGGTTCTTTATTTTACCTATCCAGCGGACGAAAAATTTAATTAACTTGTTTTAGTTTTTTTTTTTTTTTCCAATAAAAAAAACAAATATCCTTTCCTTTGGTTTTCTCTCGTCTGGTCATCGGTATATCTTCAGTCAATCGGAATTTAGTGTTTTTCGGTCTTCTAGGTTTTTTTTTTTTCAATTAAAAAATAAATATCCTTTTTTTTTTGATTTTCCCCCGTTTGGTCATCGTTATATCTTCAGTCTATCGGAATTTAGTGTTTTTCAATGTATTAGCGCCTTTCCAATAGTGTCACATAAGTATACATAATCTGACAAACTGTGCTCGCAAAATAATAGTGTTTCAAAAGGATGTTTTTTCTTTCTATTTACACCATTATTTGACTATGCTCATTTCCTTGGTAATATTTATTTATAAGATTATAAAAGATCTATTATTTACCATTTTTATAAAGAAATAAATGTGGAAAGAAGTCTTTTTAATTCAATTTTTTTTTTAAATTACAAAATTATTAAAATATGTAAACCAATGCAATAAGTTTTAAAACACTAACTGCCAATTTCACCTACCTTCATTCCCTCGACAATATTTGCTGTTTTAAAAAGCGATGATTAGAATTTTAATAAAAGTCAAATATAAGAAATTGAATTTATGCATTTTCTTTGTTTTTTGAGAATTTACAACAAAAATATTGCATGCTAATTATTTATTAGATTGTTTATTTACAAAAATAATTTTATATTTACCATTTTTATTATTTACCTTTTTATAAAGAAATAAATGTAAAAATAAATCTTTATAAAATAGTAAATGATAACTCTTTATAATAGGTAAATATTTAGGTAATTTACTTTTTAAGCCCTACGTTAAATATGTAATAAAAATTTGCCAAATAGTTATATTTAGATGTAAATTTACATGCTTAATTCGAAAATAACAAAGAAATTTTGCTAAAATCTACAGTTTAGGAGCTATAAAATCTGTGAAATTTGGTATTCAAAATGGCCATTTATTTGATCAAAAGGAATAAAAGAATAAATGAAAACTTTTGGGAGCAAGTGACAGCAAAACCAGACTTTATTGCTGGTCATAAAACACAAAATACACAAGACCAAGATAACATCACATGCCATCCCCTTCTATGCGGATGCTTCAATCATAGTGCCATACTGTTATATATTTATTTACACTGTTTACATTATTTGGAGCGTTGTTGTTGTGTTTATTACCATATTCATGACATTTCGGCTGTTGTATACTCCGGCCTTCTTCATGTTATATTTCTTGGAATTTCGAACAGAACCCTTTATTTAGTATATGGAATTGAAATTAGAACAATCTACCACTGTGGACTAAATAAAGGGTTCGGTTCGAAATTCCAAGAAATGTCACTTAAAGAAGGCTGGGGCATACAACGGCCGAAACAACATGAATATGGCAATAAAGATGAGGACAACAGTCCGAATAATATTGTAAGTAGTGTAAGTAGTTACAATACCTCATCTCAGAAATATATACACTTGTTATATATTTGTACTTCTTTTGAGATTTTGATTCTTATTCTCATATGAAAATCTGAAGTTTATTTGTCATAGTATCCATTCTATGTTTTGTACTTACCCATTTCACTTAAAGGAGAAGGTTATCAAGTATTCCTTTATATTTATCGTTAATAAATTCTCTCTCTTTCTCTCTTTCTCTCTTTCTCTCTCCGTTTTTCTTTTCCTTTTTATGACATCTCCTCGGTAAATAGCTGGTCATATTTAAAATTTTGCATCGTAAATATGAATGAATATGATCTTTGTAACCCTTTTTTTTTCAGGAAAAACAAGTCGCTATTATAAGCGCCTCTCCCATGAGCATGGGTCTCCTGACGGATAACGGACCTCCAATGTGGCACCCTTCTGGCAAAGATCTAAGAGAAGCTTGCGCAAAAGCTGCTCAGTTTTGTAGAGTAAGTCCTGAGAATTAATTTCTCTCGGTTGTATTTTGCTAACCTTTGTGGAACACGATGACATTAGAGCAGTCCTTTAAAGCAGGGTTTCCCAGAGTGAGCTCCTTGAGTGAGATCCACTATTTTAAAGCACAGAATAGCAATTTTCAACACAAGCTATGACGTGTCAAAAAAGCACGAATAAATTGCTAAAATTTTTTATATACTTTTCTGTGAGAAAATGATTAACAAAGGCAATTGTCTATTTTGTGCATTATATTCTGTAGATATTTGGGGGAAAATGAAATAAAACCAATAAGTAAAATAATAATAACAAATAAAAATAAATAAATTTATTTTCCCATGATTCAAGTTATAAAGAAACCGGAAAGAATTTCTGGTCAAATGTGCGATTTTATGACCCTACTTCCGGAAAAAACAGACTCTTCCTCCTCTTGGCTTCAAGATGTGAACTACGCAGTAATAGTGTTCACACTAGGGAATGTTATTTTACCCAGTCCACTGACAAGTGAACTTTCTTTCTCTTACCAACGATATCGCCTGATGTGTTTTAGCAGCTCTATTCATGAAGTAGACATTTAGTTTTTCCAACTCAGCGCAAGGCTGACTTGAGCTCGACCATATTGACCTGTTCGTATCCTTACTTTCCATAAATTATTTCAGAACCAAAAAGAAATTGTTTCAATACCTTCAAAATAAAAGGAATAAACGTCCATAGAAGAAACTGAAGTTTTTATTGTATGTTTCTTCTATCTTAGTTTACATATTGTACACACACCTTCACTTAAAAAATACACACAAAACCCACAACCTTGTTAAAATTCATATTATCATCAAAATGTGTACCACTTTCGATAATGAAAGTAAAAAACACGCTACCCCAAGTTGTTAAAAATTACCCAAAATTAAGGGAATTACCCAAATTAAATTAAATTTTCAGTACTTATTAATGAATGAATTATATGTTGAATAAATCACTATTTCAGAAAACCTAATGGAAATATTTTTTATAGAGGGCTATTTTTTCCTCTCTATTTCGATATATTGTGAACAGTTTTAAATTATATCCATCTAAAACTGAGTACAGAAATAGACTAAATGCAGAGAATTATATGAGATTGTTGTGAGTATGAAATAATAATAGCTCCCTTTACCTACTCCCTTCAAATTCAGGTGAGTTAAGGAAAAATATGAAAACAAATTCACAAGCCTGTGTGAAATTTTCTTTGGATCAATGAAAACTTTTTCTTCACAGGATTTAGCCATTGAGCCTAGAAAAAGAAAGAAAAGAAAATATTGAGCCTATGCGAAATCCTTTTTTATATAAAATAGGGGGAAAAAATTCAATCAACCAGAGAAGAGTGTCTGTAGTCATGTGAAAAGTTTCATTTCCTTTCACGCGTCAAGCGTTCAGATCTTCGCTTTGGCCTTAACGAGGTACTTGACACTTCAAAGAATCTTATTTCAACAATCTAAGAAAGCTAAGTATTTCAAACTCTCTTCATCTACTTTTGAACGTATGAGACCGTATAACCCTTATGTGAAAAAACGAAGTCTCTTACCTTTGTTTTGAGCATTTTTGGATATTATTTTGTGCCAGATGATTTAATCTGTTGATTGAACATTTTCTCTTCATGACAACTTGTTGAAACTACGAACCAAAAATTTGTGATTTATTTTCCTGAAACGAACTACACTGAGACAACTTCAATTCGTAAATAAATTCCTTATCTTGTTTCCTTGTCATTACCTGCTTCCATTAACCTTCTTGGTGTGGATAAACCAACTGTTCATTTTTTAACCCCGAAGTCCCACGTCACTATAAGGCTACAAGTTACATCGGTTATATCCACCTTTACAAAGCGTTGTACCTCAAAACAGCAGCTGCACTTTAGTCATTAAGTTTCACTTATTTTTTTGTAAATAGTAAATATTAAAAAATATATTAATTCTTTTTTATGTGTATTTTTAAAGATTAAATTGCTAGAACTCCATAAAAATAAAAATAAAAAAAATTATCCCGCTCAAGGGCTCCATCGCACCGAAAATTTTGGAAATCCGGCTTTAAAAAATTAAGATAAAGAGAATAAATGCAATAAAAATGAAATGCGTGAGCAGGGCCGGTGCGTACTACACCCGAATCCCAAACTAGAGTGTGGCACAAGCCTGATTGGGTGACCCAGACAGTGCTTTGTGACCCTCGCTATCTTATTAACATTTCCTTTTTTTTCTACCTACATTTATATACGTTACAAATTAAACTAAATACAATTATTAAAGGATGAAAATTTGTGGATTTTGATATCATTCTGGGGTCTTTTTTTCATCCAAATCCGTGAATTTACTTTGCTTATACTAAGTCTCAGAAAAAACACTATATAAAATTCACTATTTGTTTGCCATAATATGTGTCTAAAATTATTAAACTTTTAAAAAGAAAAATCACAAGTTAATGTTAAAAATTACCACAAAACATTGTTGATTTATTTACGATAGAATGATCTATTATGATTTGTGATATTTTAGGTTTCGGTATGTCTCTCTTAGTATTCGTTTGTTCATTTACAGTCTTTCTAGATTTGTGTTGATATTAAAAATGTCGATATTAAGTGTTTTTTGGGGAGGAGTTCTTATGGAGTGATCTACCTTTGACTGTAATATTTCTGAATCGTTCGCACGTTGATTTTACTTAATATGTAGTGAATATAATTCACTTTGGATAAGCAAGGTTTGCGATTCGATGTCCACAGAGTTGGTTGAGTTTAAATTGCAAGTGAGTCAGTGTTGATGTACTTTTGCGCGGTAAAATCGTGATTTCGAGAGACGTGGAGTATGTTGGCAATTTCTCTGTGGATGTTCGTCTCTGACTGCTTTGGTCAGTCGGCGTTTTCTTTTATATGTTTTGAAAGTCCAAAATCGGCTCCAAGAAGTTTTGGCGCAATTTCGTTTTGCACGTGAAACTTTCAGATTATTGTGTCGTTAACCAATGAGATTTGTTGATTCGCCTAGTACGGTTTTTATTGGTTGAAGTTTTCCGTACGTAGGCGTAAGATATAGACTGTTCGGTTACTAGGGGTGATAGGTAGGAAAAGGACGAGTCTACAATGTCATGCATCTTGCTCAGAGGACATTCCACTTGTCATTTCAGTTGAAAGGTGTGAGTATTTCCAAGCTTGCAATGCACTTCAGTCTATCCTTGCCGTACGTTGATACAACATTGGTTAGTACTGACAAGTAAGTACATATTACTGTTTAACATTTGGATGAAAATATATTACAGTTTAATATGCCCTAAAACAATCAGTTACATTTTTAAAAAACACCATGTTCCATCAAAACATAAACGATCATAGCATTCAACAAATTCCTTTTTATTATTATTTGTCAATGTGTGGATGGTGCAATGGATAGTAATTCAGAATGAGAACTTCGAGAGACAACTTCGAACTCCAGTTAAGGTCAGTGCATTCACTTACAAATACTCCTGGAGAAAGTATGAATCCATTTCCACTCTCCCCAGCTATGGGTTAAATAGAAGGGCACTCTAGTCGTGGTTGGCAACCAGTCTAGGAGAAGTACAACTCTAAATTCAAAACTGATAGAGATACTTTAAACAAGATCTCAATTAGGTTTCAACCAAAGTGCTTAACCAGAAATGAACTCATTGAATACGAGTTGTGCAAGAATTCATGTAATGGATTATGCAACAAATGATTGATTGATTCGTTTTTTATGGCTTATGAACCCTTTGTAGGTTTTTTAAAGACAGAAAATATTTTTAGATTGTATGAATTTTTTTTTTTAAATAATCATGTTTTAGTGATAAAGGTCATACTAATTAACCCATAGCTGAAGGGAGAAGAGGTGGATTCTTACCTAATCAGAATTTGATAAACAAAAACTAAATTATTATATATTGGATATAAAATGAGGGATCGATTCTATATTACAATCAATATATAAAGTTATCCCTCACTTTGTAGCCACGGTTGTTTCTATACATTATTCTACAGAACTTAAATAAATCTAAAAGACGTGTAGCTAATCAGTATTTCATTGATTGATTGGTTCACTTTCTATGGCTTATCAACCCTTTGCAGGTTATTTAAAGTCAGAAAATATTTTTAAATTTGTGAGAATTTTTTTTTTTTTGATAATTATGATTTAGTGATACAAGTCTTACTAATTAATCCATAGCTGGGATGAGAAGAGGTAGATTTATACTTTTACCATGGGTATTTGTACATAAATGAATATAACAAACCCAACTGCAATTGGAACTTAGCTCTCCGATTAACAATTCCAAGCCATTATCCATTACATTATCTGCACATCCAAACTTACAGCTCCTGGTATTCCCAAGTGGTCACTCATCTAGGTACTGATCAGTTTAGACAAAGCTTAACTTTGGTGATTGTATGGGAACCATTGTTTCAATATGACATATGCAACAAATGAAAATAAATGATTATCTGTGAATTACTATAACTTCTTGATAGAGATTGTAGTAGTTTCCATTGCCTTCTTTACAGTTTTGAATTTAAAATTGTCCTCCAAGAATTAGTGCCACTTAAGAGAGCCAATTCTGCCCTGCTAATTAACCTATAGCTCTCACCAGGGTGAGGGAATGAAAAATAGATTTTTTTAATGATTTCACCCCAAACAAGACAGTAAAGCCACTAAGACACAAGGGGTTACTGAGTGTGAAAGAATTAGAAAACATAAACATTATTAAGCAGTGAGAACAATAGAAGAATAATCAAGAAGACAGTGACATTGCATTTAAATTTTCAAAGATCAAAACTGGCCGGAAAGCATGGAGGCAGAAGTGTATTCCACAAATGAGAAGAACGAGAAAAGAAAAAGTTAGCATAGAACTTACAATTAGATCTAGCTAATTCATAAATTGATGAGACTTTGTTACTAATCTAGTACTGCTATTACCTCAGATAAATAATGAACCATTCTGTTATGATTGTGAGAAAAGACAGAAGGAAAAAATATATTGGACACACTGTTTGGTTTCAGTTAAAAAAAGAAATCAAACATCTTGCACTTCTCACCTGTACAACTCTCTTCCAGTTTTTTGCTTCCCCACCATCTACAATCTTCAAAAATTTAAATGCAACATCAATCATCATCCTCTGTCTTCCTGAATCATATTCTTTTATTGTCCTCTTTCCTTACTAACGTTTTCTCATTGTATTTCACTCCAGTAACTTCCAGTGTCTGAGTGGTATTATCACCTACCTTGAGATGAAATGATAAAAAAGTGATAATTTTCTTGTGCATTTAATGTCTACTTCAGTTAAATGGAAAACCTTGTCTTTTTATTTGTACCCTCTTACTTCTTTATATAATGACCTGCATTCATACTAATGAATGCAGGTCATTATTTTGTGAAAGTTGTAATGCTCAAATATTTAATGATGCTATAGAAGAATTTCTACAGCTATAAAACAGACATGGAACTTGTAAGGACCTTATTTAATCATTAATTAATTAATTATGATTCATCAGAAAATTAAAATAGGAAAACTGCAATATTTTCATGAGTACTGCTAGTTTATTTAATTTTTTAGATTGTACATTCAAGAAATCTTAATAAAGAAAATATTCACTCTGGCAGAGATCGAACCTGAATCCCCCTTTGTAGGAGAAACCACTGTTTGATCTAGAGTGTTTTACCACTCGTCTACAGAAAGTGTCCACATTTATACACAAAAGTAACATGGAAAAAATTTAAAAATTGGAGAAAGCTGTAAAATATTCTAAAACTTACTGTGTAAAGAAAAATAAACTATGAAAGATACTATATTATGTCATTTAAATATATATATATATATATATATATATATATATATATATATATACATATAATTATTAAATAATAAAATTCCAAATCACCTTATATGAGGAATAGCCTATTTCAACAAAGATATCAATTGTCTGTTTATCAACCCTGATGTGGACTGAGTTTGAGTCAGAAATTGAAATTTAAATGTGAAAGCTAAAAAAAAACACTTGAAAAACTAATACAGAATTTATCCATTTCAATGTTTCAGTCAGACAAAAGGCACAAGGCAGGGGTCAGGGGAGGGTGGAAAGTATTTGTCCTAAAGAGAAGAAGTTTTATTAAATTAAACCTGAATATTAACCTTATGATATTAATTTGGGGTTATATGAAGAATGAAATATTAATTTAAAATTAAAAGAGAAATAAAAAGGGGTTTAAAAATAACTTTAAAACATATAGATAAAAGGATGTAAGTGATTAATGGAAAGAAAGTTGGGGAGATCTTAGAGTAAGGGGGGAAGTTTATAAATTATAATTAATATAGAAATTAGAATTAGTTGTACATTCAACATTTGAAGAGTTAGAGGGGGGAAGGAATATTATGGAAATATAGTAGCAAATTAAGTTAAACCTATATTATGGAAATTTAAATTTGTTTTTATGTCAACATTTTAACACTAAATAAGCTATTTGCCATAGGAGGGGATTTTGGATTTTAATGTTTATTAATTTTATTGCTCTGTAATAATAAATACATTGGGAAGTTTTTGTGGATCAGTTTTAATATTTTATATTACTAGGATCCACTTAGATTACATACCAACGGATTTGTTACCTTTACTATATATATATATATATATATATATATATATATATTTCAGATTTCTCACAATTCTTTTATATTTTATCCACAGGCTTGAATACCTATATGCAAATCTGGAGATAAATAAAGGGTCTCTTACTGAAACTGAATCTGAGACCATGGTTTACATCTGTGAACAGTAAGTCAAAGTTTACATCTCAACAGATTTCTTATAATTGCAAAATGTTGGCTGAAGCAGTTTGCTTTCATACACTCAAAGAACAATAATGAAAGTAACATTAAAATGATTCAATAAATTAGATGGTCCATTAAATTAAGGAAATTAAAACAACTAATAAATATTGGATGCTACAAAAATAGTTTTGCTTAATAAGTAACAATGTAGGACTTAATTTTCTTTACAGTACAGATACTTAAATATAATTATGAGTCATTCCTCAAAGTCTGTAGTTATTGAAAGGTGCCAGTTCGTTTTCTTTTTGTTAAGTTCATATTAGACAAAAGACAGCGTTGTGATCAGTATCATATTAGATAACCAACTATGTGTCACTTTTTGCATCCATGACTTTTCAAATAAACCAGTCTTTTCCAGTTATCAATTGAAACTCATACATTATAAACAAAAAAGTTACTATTAATAATAAGACAATAATAATATTAATAATGGCAATCATAGTAGTAGTAATAATAATTATAATAAGTATTTCTTGCAATTGTAGAACTAAAACAAAATGCTCTCTTAAAAATAAATGTTTTATCAATAATATATAAAGTTACAGCAAAAAAACAATATTAATATGCAAGAAAAAGTACATAGGAGCAACAAAAAATTTAAAAGAAAGTATTATAATCATAAAGTGAGAAAAATGCTAATGATACAACACTTTCAAAATCTATATGGGAATAAAAAGAAAAACATTTTTACAACATTAAATAGAAAATCATAAAAGGGCACCACCTTGCAAAAACTACTGACTATGCTTGGAAGTAAAACTCCAAATCATCAGTTTCAAAACTCAAAGTAAATATTTAAAAAAAGAATGAATTCCTAGGCAAATGCTGATGTAAACAAACACCAATTTTCTTATTTAAAACCAGATATAAAAAAATGTATGCATATAATGCATACACAAAGTCATCTTGACCAAGAGTTTGAGCATACTGGGCTTGTTTAGACTGTTGATCACACCAGATAATGTGCTCTTTCCCAAAAACTGTAATTAAGGTTCACTCAGCATATTTGCAGTATAAACCACAGATGCACTCTGTTGGTGTTGCAATAGGGATTGACTAGCTGCCCTAGCTGTCAAAAATACTTGGATATGAATGGCTAGCCATTACCATATATATATGCATGTGTGTGTGTGTGTATAAATTTGACCTGAAAATTTCACTCAAGCACAAAACAGACTGTCACCATTCAGTGTTGTACTCTGTGTTCACAGTGCTTATATTAACATAAACTATATCTTGAATATTGAGTATACTTATCCTATAAATATAGTATACCTTTTTATCTATCTATATATATATATATATATATATATATATATATATATATATATATATATATATATATATATATATATAAAGAGAAAGGAAGAGGGAGCAAGAATTCATTTAAACAAACTTTGTTAAATTCAGTGGACAAGATTTGTCTTTTTAATGTTTTTGTGATATTTTCTTGATTTTCGAATAAGATGTACATTGGGATCAAAATTGTGGATAAATTGTCTGAAGTTCATATTTTATTATGTTTTTGGTGAAGTACTTTTAACTGTCTCAGTCATTATCAAGAACTGGGTATTATCCATGAAAAACTGACAGCATCCAGTTCTTGATAATGACTGAGATGTTTGAAAGTACTGGAACAAAAACAGAATAAAAACATGGACTTTGGCCAATTAAGAGTTAGGCATGGTGGAGTAATGGATATCACCTTGGATTGAGTAATTGGAGAGCTGAGTTTGAATTCCATTTGAGTTAATTACAGTAACTTATGCATTAATACCCTTTGGAAAGGTATGAATCCATCTCTTCTTCCCCAGCTATGGGTTAATAGCAGGCCAGATTGAAACCTATCATCTTGGTTGTCAACTAGTCTAGGAGAAAGTAAACACTCAGTTATGGCTTCAGTAGATATGGTGCTTCTATGACCCTAAAATAATTACAGACACTTATGTTTATATATATATATATATATATATATATATATATATATAAACACAAGTGTCTGTAATTACAACACATTTAATAGTAAAGTGCATAAACCATACCAAAATGAACACAAAAATATCAGAATTCTAAATGTAATTTTTAACATAGTTTCCTTCTTTCCTTCTCAATCAGTGTATTCCATCTTTGAATGAGGGTAAGTGTACCCACTTTATAAAATCTCTCTCAGCAATGTGCTAGTTGTCTCTTTGACTTTATCATAATTGAAGAACTGCTGTCCTCAGATGGCTTCTTTCATGACTCTTGAGCAGCAAACACCTGCTTCTCCTTCATATAGTTTGTCAACATTCTGGAGTCCTGCTTTTAACCATCCCATCATTTTAAGAAAGTGCAAATCTTTTGACTCACTTTCTCAAATTATCTCAGACTGCTTCATAAGGAAAGTTCCAGAAATATAATTTGCTTTGATTTTTAATTCAATTTATTTAAAATGTTCAGATGAGTTCCTTGCTTTAGTTCCACCAATTCAAGACTTTTCAGCTAGGACAGGCTACACTCCATCCGAAGAGTCAAATCACCCTTATTTCTTCTGTATTCCACTTGTGAAGAGAAAATTCCATTCAGACATCTTTTCCCAAGAATTGCTACTTCATGAAACCAACTTCCATGTGGATGCTTCCCTGATCACTACAATCTTAGCCTCTTCAAGTCATGGGTCAATCATTTTCCTTATCCTCGTAATTTTAACTTAATTAATTTTCTCTTAATTACTCCATTCAGTAAACCTCTATCTTGAGTGGCTTTTGAGCCTTGTATTTGATAGATTTTAATATGAAAAACTTCTTCAATAATGCTTTAAAAATCCATGTTGTTTATGATGAATCCCTTGCCCAGGTTTCCGCTAGTGAATTGCCATATTGCATCTCGACTTTCGTTCATATCAGTGTGCACTGAAAGCTGGGAAAGACCCACTATACATTTGCAAGAAAACAAAAGATGAAAACTGACAACATATTGAGAAATGATAACACAAATCCTGTGCCAATAGTTAATTTTTTTTTTGTTTCACCCCATGTAGGGCAATACAACCACTAAAATGCAAGGTGCTACTGAGTGTGAGAGAATATGAGAAAAAAATTATTAAGGAGAAAGAACAATAAAAGAACAGGAATTAAGAAGAGAAAAGATTTTATTCTAGGCTTTGTTTGCTCATCCTGGGTGAGTAGTTAGGTGACACTTAATGACAATTTCTGTCATGTCAGTCTAATTGCTCAGGTTTTCCCTTGTACTGTCCATCTACACATCATAATATATGACTGGCAATATCAACGGGTAGCATCAGAATGACATGAATGGAGGACCAGAACAAGCCTCCTCAATCCCAATCATGACTGTTAATATAGACTAGCAACCAGAAACTGACTATGTCCTCTTTGTTGTCTCATGACCTTAAATGATTTCATTTATCTACTTGTTTTGTACCGCTTTCGACAAGTGGATGCCACTTCAAAAATCCTCTCCAGTGGCCAAGAAACAGAAAGACTTGCGATCAAGATAAGGTCATGCCTACCTCTTTTATGTGGGTGTCCCAACCATAGTGCCACACTTATAGTTATGAAACAAAAAAAAACGATTGGTAAAATCATTTTCTAAAAATTAAAACTGATTTTATTTTTTCAGCTTCTTTAAACCACTGAAAGTAAAATCTTGGGAAGGAGTCGAACTGGAAAAGTACAAAACTGCCTTAAAGAAACTCACTTCAGTCTAGATCAGAAGACTACTGACCTGGCTGTTATTAAGGAGTCTGTAGCATGATCTAAATTTTCTGAAGTCTGTCACAAACAGATCAACAAGTATCTTTTTGGCTTTTCAGGAACCTCTGAAAGTAAAAGTGGAATACTTGGAGATTTATTTATTCAGCAATAAATTTTCTTTTAATATCATTATTTTGTCTTCATTTTATTTGGCCCAATCCTTTGTGTTTTTAACTAATGCATTTCTTTCCGTTCAGATTTTTTTTCTTGATCTGAAAGATTTCAGAATCTACAGCAGTAAAAATAAATACATGATTAACTTCTATCAGAACCCAATGCACTCTCACTATAAACAGAATGAAAAAGTAGTTGAAAATGGAATTTGTTGATACACATCACTACATAATCCTAAACATTATAATTAGCATTTGGTTGCAAAGGAAAGAAACAAACAAGGATTAAATTTTCAACAGCATGTATTCATCAAATATACATAATATATACATATATAATATACTTAATATACATAATATATACATACATAATATATTTAATATGCATAATATATACATACATAATATACTTAATATGTATAATATATACATACACAATATTCGTAATATACATAATATATACATACATAATATACATAATATATACATACACAATATACATAAGATATAGATACAAAATATATATAATATATACATACATAATATACTTAATATACATAATATATACACACATAATATATATACATAATATACTTAATATACATAATATATACATACACAATATACATAAAATACATAATATATAGATACATAATATACATAATATATACACACACAATATACTTAATATACATAATATATACACACATAATATACATACATATACTTAATATACATAATATATACACACATAATATACATACATAATATACTTAATATACATAATATATACATACATAATATACATAGTTGTTTGAAATTTTGCAAAAATTGTTAATATGTTGTTCTTCAGTTGCTGTTGGTCAGAAAAGTGATTAGGTGTAATGGTATTGTCAGTAGGGCTGGGAATTGACTGATTTCTTGGGTTCATTGGCTGCAGTCACAGTTGAAGCCAGAGGATAGGTATGCAGTGGATTTGTCATTAGTGGGGTTTGACATACGCCTTTCTTCATTGTTGAAATTGATACATGTGCCTTGTAAGTTGTGTTGATCGATGGCGGTCACAATGATAGGTGGATTCATGGTAAGGTGCATTGGTTGCCAAAGTAACAAAGGTGACAACAAAGGTGTAGATAGTGAACAAAAGTGTAAATAGTGAACATTGGCTGAGTGCAAGGTCTCTGTTGGATTCTGGTCAAATCGGAGATCAGTGAATCAGGTCATGGTGGTGACAATGAGGGAAGCCTGTAGTGGGTCAAGTGGAATGTCTCTGTTGGATTCTGGTTGAATATGATATCAATGAGATTGTGTCACTGGTGACAATAAAGGAAAGCTGGATTAGATAGTTAAGGTTGATCAAGCAGGGTGTCTCTGTTGGAATCTGGTTGAATGTAGTAACAATAAGATGGGATCATGGTGGTGATGGTGAGGGAGGCCTGGAGTAGATGAGTAGATAGTTAAGGCATTGATGGGTGGTGACACGATCATGGCAGTGACAGTGACAGTGCACCTGTATGCTGACAGGTGGCCTTTCAGCCTGCAACTGTGTTAATCATTATGAGAGGCTTTCTTTTGAGCAAAACTTTTAGTCACTAGAGTCATCTTTTTTCTGGCAGGAAATTTGTGATTGGTTATTGTATTAATTTTATTGTACAGATTTGTTTTGTGGATCAGATGTTATACTTGGAGCCCATGTGCAGAAAACGACTTTTTAATTTTATGTTTTGCTTTCTTGGCACTCACATCCAGCTGACATTTAGAGGGAATCAGAGAGAGATTTAATTGCAGCTGAGTATAACAATAATAAAGGTTATTTCTAGATTTTAAGTAGATTCAGAAATATTTGCAAAGTATGATGTAAGAAACACCTAAGAATTATGGGAAAATAGAATAAAATTGATAAAAAAAAATAATAATAATGAATAAAAAACAAATACACTTTTCCATGATGCTAAGAGTAAAGTTACCAGAAATTTGATTACCCTACTTAGTTTAATCAAATGCTATTATGTGGTGCTCATGAGTCTATAAAATGCAAACATTTCCTTCCTTATATTTTTTATCTTACTTGTTTTAAGATGTAGCACCATGTGGGAAAATGTCAACCTCACAGGAGAATATTAATTTCCCTGGTCCACTGATAATTAAAGTCTTTTCCCACCTTCAAATGGTAAAGTAAATACAAACTTTTCTTTGGTTGTTCCAACTCTGTGCAAGGCTGACTTGAGCTTGACCATTAATACAATGCTTATAATTGTTTATATAAAAAGAGAATAAATGGTCCATGGTAGAAACATCAAGTTTTTGCTTGCTTTTTCTTAATTGTTTATATGAGAACACACAGCCACCTAAAATAGACACCAACATGCAACCTACTAAATTCCATAGATTTATCATCTACTATAAAATGTTTAAAACATCTAATCTAATCATTACCAACAACATGGGACTTCAAAAATTCCTGCTGTGTAAAAATAATGTTGTTTATGAATTCTCATGTCCTTTGAGAGATTGTATTTTCAGCACTAATAATCAACAAACAATATAAAATTTTAAAATTGGACACATATACCACACCCTTTCATAGACTGACTTGTCATTTGTCAAAATTTAAGGCAATTTGCACACATATAGATCATCATATAACAAATATCCAAAATACTATTAACATCAGAGAAATTTTAATAAATAACACAAAAATATTATATACGACTCAGGGTAAAGAAAGAATTCAAATTCTGGAAGTCATTGTAATACATTAAATAAAATCTTTTTCTCCACAGGAGATCATATATTAAAGTGGATATTAAAAAAAAAATGTCTAAAAATAATCAGTCAAAGTGTAGGACACCAAAATATTAATAACTATAAATATACAGTAATTACATTAGTCGGACTATTGTCTTCATCTTTGTCGCCATATTTGTCACAACATTTTGATCACTGGGGTAGACTGTTCTAGTTCCACGTGCCATGTTTGATGGATGTCAGTTATCAGTTATCTCCTGCTAATTTTCCCTCTGAAAGTTCTCCACTGCCTTAACCAGGTATTGAACTCATATTCTTTGGGTCTGTCACTGGATCAAACCAATGCCTTTTATCCACTGTGCCATGTGTTCTTGAGGACATCTGGATATGAACTACTGGGTATTATAAACCTAATGTTTTCAGCAACCATTTTTTACCAGTGTTCATATTGCAATTTTTTCTGTTATCATTGCATGTTTTTACCAGAGTTCATATTGCAACTTTGTTATCATTGCTTTTCTCTGGCACTCCTTATTACTGGTTCCCATATTGTATTTATTTCTATGCTTGGTCGGCTCAGGAAATTTTTGTGGCCTAGCATATGTGCTGATTCCTTTTTTGAATTTTCCAATGGTGTTTCCTGTATGATCTCAACATGATCCTACAGGGGCGGTGATCTCCCTTCTCCTCCATTTCTTCAAGTGAAAATTGCAGGAGATAACTGATTGACATCTATCAAACATGGGTAGAACAGTTACCCCAGTGATCTAGGGTTCAGTTCAAAATTTTTTGAAAATACAATGGCCAAAATGACAAAATGGCGAGATTTTAGTCCGACTAATGTAAATTTTACATAATACCTCATCTCAGAAAATAGACAAACTATAAGTATGATTGGAAGGAGGGTGTGCATCCAAACTATCAATTTTCTGTTTTTGAAGAAATAGAACCAAGTTTTCATCAAATCATTTATGAACTTTGGAAAAAAAATCCTCTTTTCCTAACTATTTAGCAGGACAGACTGGGTCCTATAGCCTTGGATGGCAAATATTTTGAAAGAAATCTACTGCATGAAAAAATCTACCTTGTCAGTCATGTATGAAAGAGATGAATTGTATCAATGAACAAGAGTTATTCCCTTTTCAATTAACTTTAGAAATAGGAAAATTTAATAAAACATTATTTTCTTTCAGATTTGACAGGAAAAATCTACATTCAATATTTATTTTTTTAAAAGTTTACTTGTAATTTTTCAGATCAATTTTTAAATTCATAATCTTTTGAATTTTTGAAATTCATAATCTGGAGTTCTTTTTTTGAATTTTTCATATCTTATGAACTTAAAAAAATAGATTTTACATTTTAAGAAATCATGTTGTATAAGCATATTTTGTCTTGGCTTTCATATGGAGATCAATTTACAATGAACTTTCATAGAAAATTGGACCCCATTATCAACTTTTATAATAATTTTTTGTTATTATTCATGATCCTTGAGTGCTTAATCTACAGCAATATGAAATTAAAATTTGAGAAAATAAAAGATATTTTTTTGATTGCAATGCTTTTAAACCATTATAAAATATTTCTTTTTTCAGTTTCATTCATTTCATTTTCCTATTTCTTACCTTAAGTATAAAATCTAAAGTTAATTGAAAAGGGGAATAACTCTTGTTACAACAGTAAAATTGATAGTTTGGATGTGTGCACACCCTCTGCTCTCTTCCAATCATATTTGTAGTTATTAATATTTTGGTGTCCTACACTTTGATTGGTTATTTTTGGTCATAACCCCCAGGAAACTGACTCATTGCACCTCTGCTAACCTCCAGGAAACTGACTCTTGCACCTTTTAAAGCTAATGTTCTGACACAAAGTGGGAAGACTATATTGACTCCATTGCTACATCAGATGCTAAGAAGGTCAGTTTACTGTGTCGTGCAAGACAATTTTTCTTTTCAGAATCTATCTTACAATATCTATAAGTCTACCATTCGTCCATGCTTAGAATATTGCTACCACATATGGTCTTGTGCCCCTTGAGCTTCCTGGGGGTTAGCATCAGCTATACTGATGGAAGGCAGAGAGGTGTT